AACCCACTTAATCCTCACAACAACAATATGAGGTATGTTTTATTATTATTGTTATACATCACAAATTAGTAAAATAAAGGTTAAATACCTTGTATAAGATCTCATAACTAATAAATGGCAGAGCTAAGATTTGAAGCCAGGTAGACTAGTTCTGGAATCCACATCTTTAACCACTCAGTATGGTACAGTTGATAAAACAAATACTTGCATGATACCAAATATGCTAGTGAATAATAAGCTGACAGGAAATAATTACAATCATAAATGTAAATGAACCATTCAAAGGGTATTTTAAACACTCATTTGCAGAGTACCATCTAGTAATAAATGGCTATGAGAACCTAACAAACTATATTCCTGCAGGGTGACCTTGAAAAGTGGGATGACTGTTTCTGAGCAAGTGTTTTGGAAAATACAAAGCACGTGCAATCATTGGCACATCATCTGAGTATGAGCATTCCAAGATTATTAACTGTTACGCAGGGGCTCCTAGAAGAGGTTTCAGAATTGGGAGGTAAAACTCACAGGATCTGGTGACTGATGGATGTATGGACCAAGACAAAAGGCATTGTTAAAGTTAATGCTAAGGTTTTTGGTTTGAGACACTGTTGATGATCAGAGAACTCAAGATTTGGAACAAGAAGTTACAGGTATGGCAGGAAAGTTAAGTTTGTTTATGGTGTGTTGACTTTGAGATGCCTGTGAGACATCCCAGTGGAGATGTCCAGTTGAATATGTGTCTAAGACTCAAGATATAGATGTGGGCTAGATTAATTAGGGACTTGTCAATATATAGATAGATATTAGTGAAATTCAGATGAGTGAACAAGTTCCCTGAAAGAGCATCCTGACTGATGAAAAAATGAGGTCATAGGATAGAAACAATATTTGAAGGATGTGAGGCTGTGAAGGATTTTGAAAAAGTGAAAAGAAAAGGCCAGAGTGGTGAGAGGAAAACAAGTGAAGGATAATGTTCCTGAAATTAAGAGAGAGAGATTTGCTTTGTTGAATATTTTTCTGAAACATATGAGTACTTTGTAGAAATATAATATTATTGCTAACAATTTTTATATGTGATATAAGGTATGTTTGCCTGCCTTATCAGACCATAAACTCAAATCTAATATTGTTTAATGGTTAATACAGAACTTTTTCTGACCAGGTTCTGATCAGAAATCAATATGAGAGAGCTATTATAAAGCATAGGTACATCCTATTTTTCAGCTTTCTCTTTGACAGTGGTGATAGCAGAGGCCTCACTGAAAGCCTGTGGGATTTCTTTAGATCTCCATTTTTTGAGAAAACTCTATCTATGCCTGGAAGAAACTATGCACAAAAAACCCCCACAAACACCCTATTGTTTAGATTACAGGCAGTAGTTATCTTTTTTCTTCAAAATTGTATTTAAAGTTTTTGTTACTCTTTATAATCTTAAAAGGGATCTATGATAAGTTTACAGAATCTATTTTCACTTCTGCCATCACCTGTCACTTCAGGATGTCAGCAAGGATGGCAATTTTTTTTAAAGTTCTTTCCCTTCCTCACAACTCTGGAAGAGAAGTGGTAGCATCTTTGAATATAAGCATTTACTTTAGTTCAGATATACCTCAGGACTCCAACAGAGAAGTGGCAGCATCTTCGAATACAAGTATTTATTTATTTTAGTTTAGATTCTCTGTTCTCTATCCTTATAGGACTTCAGTAATTCACTAATCATGTATGCATTTATTTAGTCGATAAATATTTACCTAGTATATGATGTTTCTGGTATTATGTTAGAGCTAAGGTCAAAGAGATAAAACAATAGGAGCTGTCACTGCACTGATGGAGGTTGGTAAAGCCTGTGGCCAAAAGAGGCCTGTCCTATCCCAATGGGTTTATATCTCTCAGATACTTGTAAATGATTCCTGAAGAGATAAAAAATATTACAGAATGTTTTAAAACATATCTATATTTAGAAAGAGTTCACTAGGACAGTACATCCCTCCTAAACATTGTAAAGTTTTGACTTCAGTGATGGTCCTCCCTATATCCCTTCAGCCTTGGTCTTTCCTCTCCACTTTGGGGGAAAAATTGAGTTATATTGCATGAACTGAAATGTTCTTCTCTGCATTTCAATGTACTAATCCCAAATCCTCTTGCTAGAGGAGTAGTGGGAATATAGGAAGATCCACGCAAGTGTCAAAAGGCAGGATTGATTTCCTAGGATCCAAAACTAAGGTAAAGAATTACACTTAGGAAAACAGAGGACAGCAGAATCCAAAGAGGCAGTCAAAGCAGACCAACAACAGTGATAATAGACAGACAATAGTGATAGATAGACAATCATAAGATCCAGAGTATATATCCTGGGTAAAACAACGCTAAATTCCAAATCTGGAATTTAAGTATGGTAAGATCAGACTGAGAACACAGTCAAGATGAATCAGGATGGAAACAGCTATTTGTGTAGAAACAAGAGAATACTCAGAGCACACCTTTTGGGAGAGCAGGTCCATGATGAATGGAAGTGTTAGGGTGGCTTAAAGTACCTGGAATCCAGTGGGGAAAATTAAGATGTTGATCATGTGTTTAAGCTTTGTAGTTCCTTAGTGTCTTTATATTAGTGTTGTATTATTGGTGGCTAGTGTTGACAATACATACACAGGCTCTGTAGACATTGATTTATGCAATACATAAACATTTACTGGTAATTCTGGTAGTTATTAAGAAGGATATTGTTCCATGGTGTGGTTGGAGAGGGATCCCTAAACATGGCTATGCAGATTGTACAGTGAACTCCAGGAATAAAATTTAAGGAACATAACTGGTGCTCTCTGGAGTTAAGTGATGTAGTGGTCCTAATACGGGTGATGTTGCATCTTGTATTGCTGCCAATCTTTCAGTCTGCCATTTAGAAGAGAAGGAAAAAGAATGCCTGCTTCTTTAAGTTCTGAAGCCTATTGTTTTCCTACTTTTATATACTTTTCGATTCTTGATAGACATACAAATCTACTATGTTCTTCCTTTAAAAGAGGTACTTCCTATTTCTGCAATGTTTAAACAGCAAAAACAACGCATGCATTCATACACACTATTTTTAGTGATTGACTAAAGAATTAGATAATAGTTGATTATTCAAATAGGTTAGAATATTTACTTGTCATCAAAAGCATGCATTTTGAAGGATACTATTTCTTAAAATTATGTCATTACACAAAAATAGGAATATTCATGTAACCTTTTGATATTGAAAATAAGTTAGGCCCCGGTTTTTTACAAAGTCCATGATATGATGCCTTTTCACTTGCAACTGACTTCATGTTATACTAACCAACTAGGTTATTTAATTCTGAAGTAATACATCAACTTTCCCCATATTTTAATTTCCATTTAATATTCCCCTTTATAATTCAAGTTATACTGTAAAAATTCTTGGATATAAATAAGAATTTTTGTCTCTCTTTATTTTAGTAGTTTAACAGATACATTTAAGCCTAGATAATCTTCATTGTAAGGGTAAAAATAAGATGAAAAGAAGGAAATAATAGAAAATCAGTATTATATTAGTGTATTGGAGTCAGATAAGGGCATTAACTTGAGTTAAGAAAATGAATATAAAATCAGATTTTAAGAATATGGATTTGAAGATAACTGCTGTTTTTGTGAGCTTACTTCTATGTACCTGAAACAGTACATCACCAAACTATCATCTCAGAGACAAAACTCCCCCCTATGAACAATTTGTGATCAGCCAGATAAATGGAGAAACGACTTAATCATATATATTCTAAACATACCAGCTTCCAATTAACAAAGTCATAGTTACCTGGAGGGCAGATAGTGCAGCAACTGATAATAGGCCCAGACAAGGAAACCCACAGCAAAATAAAAATATTTTAATTGCCATACATTTTAAATTTGAAGCACCATAACTAAATTTCATTTTGTTTTATTCATGTAAAATTGAATCTTCTTACTAGTTTTCTAACTTCTACATCATTACAAAAATTTGGCAAGAGAGTAAGATGAAAATAAAAGTAAGGTTGACTTTTGAAAAGAGATCATGGTTTCGTTTTCTAACTCCCTTTGGTAAGCATTAAAATGTGATTATTTTAAAGACCTGTGCAAAGAGCGAGAAGGGTCCCTCTTGAAAATCACGTAGACCCATTCTTCCTTTGCCATATCTCTGATAATCGGGGTCCATCCTGCCCAATGATTCTTTGCTTTCAAATAAATAAAAATTCCATTATTTCATAAACTTTTCTTTTCCAAATCTTATTCATTTGGGGATATTCTTTCATCTGTGATTATGTCTTGTTTAATCTACTGCTATTTTTAGTCAAATAGAATGTTTTCTTCTGGAGTATTTAAAAAACAAAGATAATTAGTTTTTTTTTTTTACAACCACTTAATTCTTAATTTGAGAATCACAGTTCTTTTCTGAGGTTTACTGGGTGAGTTATATTTAGTGCATCCAGTGTTCCTCCCTTAGAAACATTAATAATTTTGGAAACTGAAATATGGCAATGGCTTGACATATCTCTTAGACTCTAATCAAGCCATCTGGCTTGAAACCTTGAGAATGAGTGAGATTTCCTTGAAAGAAAACATTTAGTTAGGTTAAGTGTCAAGTTGCCAGCTTACACTGTATAAAAGTCAATATGTACCAAGCCATATTAGTGAGTTTCATCTACAATGCTAGGAGGTTGTTGAACTCAATTACAGAAATGTGCAGAGCTCTATTTGATGTGTGACGAGATTAGGAGACCACAATCAATTAAAAAGAACACATGTATTTCCTGTGCTGGGGAAACAGCTGTTAAGAGTATCCCTTGTTCAGTTTCTGTTTTTTTCTCTGACTTTTCCTCTGAACGTAGAACAAAGGGTTTAATAATTCCCCAGTTTCATTTGGAACTGTTTTGTCAGCTATCTCTAATAGGAAGACATGAGATTGTTGTTTTACTTGAATGAAGCCTCAGGCGGCTGCAATTAAACATGCTGTATTTTTTTTCTTGTAGCGAAACCATTTGAAAATGGACAATATTTGGACATTTATGGAATTACCAGGGACCAGGCTGGAGAATATGAATGCAGTGCAGAAAATGATGTGTCATTCCCAGATGTGAAAAAAGTCAAACTTGTCGTAAACTGTAAGTCCTGTCACCTTTTATCAGCATAACGTCAGAGAAAAGATAAAACATCTGAAAAATACCATCTGAAATTTGTGTTGCTGGTTTTTTAAGAGGTGGTCTATTGATAAAGACTAGCTCTTGACAGTGAAAATGTATATATGTTAGAATGTTGATTGAATAGTTTTATGTAACATCAATTGTCTTTAGTAATTCCACAACAATTCAGTTTGATGTATAGATAGAATGTTTCTACTATCACCCTAGTCCTTGGCTTTCTAAACTATGACTTTCTTATCTCCAAAGCACTGTAGACACGGTATATTCTTCATTCTCACGGGTTTTACCTGGAGTGTATTCTGCCTAAATTTAAGTGTGAAACTCTCAGTCAAACATCATGGAAATTAAATATGCTGGGCTGTACACAAAGAGAAGAGCTGTTGCCATCATGCTCCTTTACTTAGATATTGAATTTTGTTTAGTTTGGAAAATATTGAGAAAGTGAAGAATTTTTTCGTGAGCATGATTATTAGGAAGTTGAAATACTAAGACACCTGCAGAACTATCAATGCTATTGTGTCACACCCTTCCTCTAAATGAATCCCAAACACGGATGTCAGACTTTTTTTTCATTAATATCCTATTTTTAATCTTGTGATCTCAATAACTATGACGGCAACAGTCTGTGCTTTTCAAAAATACCCCCTTAGTCTTTTGAAAATTTTCACTTTGTTTAACTCATTCAAATAAAACACTTTAAGGAAAATAGTATTTGACCAATGTTTATAAGCTCCAGCTTCTGATTATTTTTCATTCCATTTATACATCTTTCTATACATGTCCATTGCTAATAATGCATACATATTATTATACCATAGATGAGAAGAAATTGTTCCAAATATATCCCCAAATGCTAAAACTAAGCAGTTTTTTTCACATTAATATAAATCTTTCAGTTTCATGGGCCAAAAATTAACTGTCAAAACATTCTGGGCAGTTGAGTGTCTGCCAGGGCAAAACACTGCCATCAACTAACATTTGTCAGTGACTAATCTATATATTTGGAGTTGAACTACCTCTGTAAGATTGAGTAAATGTGCATAACACTGATCAAAGGCAATTTCTGGAGCAGAGTTTTTCATATAATGTTCTGCAGACAAAGTTTAGCAGTCACTCAAAAAGCTCATTAAACATGGAAAATTTCTGGGCCTCACATCAGCCCTACTGAGTAACAATGCTTGGGATATATAGCCTGGAGATCTGCATTTATAATAAATACTGGTGCGCAGGACTCATGTTGCAGAGGGCTACTGCACATCCCTCTAGAACTCTGAAATAAGAAGTAGTAAGCAAGTAAAAATTCCTGATCATTTTAGCACTAACTCTCATTATCTGCATGAGTCTACTGATTTTATTGTTGGAGGGCTGAGAAGGGTGATTTGAACATTATTTCAGTTTTCACTCATTGATCACTTTATTTGATATCAAAAAGTATATACACAGTTTCCAGTAAAAGAGAATTGCATAATTCTTCCTATGGTCAAACAGTAAGGATATTTTGGGGTGCACTGTGAACTAAGTTTTTATCCAGTAAATCTCTAGCGCATATTTGTGCATTGTTTTGCATGTGATACATATTTATTTATGCAAATGTACACTTTATCTTCCAATATAACTAGATGCAAACACGTGGAATAGAATGTACCAATTAGTATAACTTAGTACAATTGTATGAAAGCCTGAAATGAGGGGCCACCCAGGAGAGGTAGGAGGAGGAAGAGGAGGTTTCTAGGGAAATGACCAGTGTTAGGCTATTCATAAGGTTTTCTCCAAAACTTCCGACAAATTAGGCAGACATGTCATATTTGTCAAGAAGAAATTTCAAATGATGGACAAGTAGATATCACCTTAAATAAAGAGAAGTTCTGGCATTTGAAGTGAGAGTGGAATAAGGATGTTATCATGGGACCTGAAGAAAAATAAGTGTTATTTGAATTCATAATTATCACCTTAGCTTTTATTTTTGGCTCCATTTTTAATGCCCCTACTTTTACTTTCCATCTACCTCATCTTTTGTATCTGCTTAAAATTTAGGGTACAGTCCTCTATTTTATATCTCTTTACAAGCTGATTAACACCTATTTGGAACAAAGAATATAAAAATACACATTATTGTCTTCTAAATAAAGTACTAGTTCATATGCCATCTCTAGAGTAATAATGAAGTACATCAGTAAATCTACATTTATATATGTATTTATTTACCTATTTATTTATTGTTTACCATGAGACTATCAAGATCTTAAAGCCTGGAATACTGGTCATCAAGGAGTTTAGCATCTAGGAAAGGAGACAAGAGAAACACGTAGTTATTAAAGTGTGGCAAGTGTTTGGATAAGCCAATCACAGAGTACTATTCAAGGCTATCAGAAAGGCACCAAACACAGCCTCGGGGTACCACGGAAAGCTTTTATGAGGCCTTGACCCTGATGGAGTCTGAAGGATGAAATTGAATTTGACAGATTTATTTTTTAAGGAAATAAAGCAAAGAGGGTTCTTTCAGACAGAAGCAGCAGCATGTGCTTAACCCCATAGGAGTCAGAGGACAGCGCTCTGCTTGATGTGATGACTGCAGTGAGCTGAAGGAGACCAAAAAGGAAACAGAAAGGAGGGGTGGGTACCACAAGGGAGGAAGGCAGGGCCAGATGAGATGGGGGTACATGAATTTCACAGGCAGACATATATCCTATGCTTCACAATCAAAGAATAACTTTGAGATGATAGAACTGTTCAGAAACACATCTGAATATTAAAGATATGTATTTAAATATTTATATCTCCTACATCTATGGAATATACTTGGATGATTTCTGTTCTGTCATGGCAAGGATAAAGGAAAAGATTAAAATGATAACAATTCCACATAAAAGCGATACGAGAAGCTAATGAATTTGAAGGGAAATTCCTACAGGTACTGAACACTAAATATTAGAAACATATGGATAATCACCCAGAAAACATATTGTTAAATAAAACATTCTTCTCAGTAGAACAATATAAACATCTAAGAATTAAACCTTTTCTTTTCACCTTGAGAATTCCATGTTATAAAGAGTTCAGATTTAATTCTGTGGTTTATGTAATCCCTCAGTTGAAGTATAACTGTTATTAAACATGCAGTTAAGGAATACATGATTTCTTCTATTGAGGGCAGCATAATTGCTCCTTTGTTTTAAATCTTAGAAATACACTTCAATTAATGACTAGTGTGCCAAGGCTATTTTTACTTAATGAGGCTATTTTTACTTAATGAGACTGCTATCCAATTTAACTTAAATGTACTAGCCCATACTTTTACATAGTTTTCAAGAGGAGTTTTAGCATTAAGAATCTCTAAGTTATCTTTTACCTTTTTGTTCATAGAAAATAAAAATGCATCTGCAGTTAACCACATGTGCATATTTTTATTATTCCTCTTTTATTTCTAGAAGTGAAAGATGAAACTATTTCCTTGCTTCACTACAAGAGCAGAACTTTTTGTTACATGGGAGTCTGTGTATTTTGTTTTGTTTATAGTTCTTTCTAGGTTGGCATTTATCACTTCAGAAAATAGCAAAGTACTTGGTATAATAGACCACCAGCGAACAGTAAGAAAGCGATTTCTAACAGGTTGAAAATGCTCTAGATTGAAAATGATTCTATGCTGAACTGAAGAAAAGTGGTGAAGTCAGGAAAGAAAGAACAAATACATAAGTCACACACTTATATGTGTGCTTATCTGATGGTATACTCATCTAGATTCATGCTCTAGTAAGATACCAAAGAGTCAAACTCTGAAAACTATAGGGTGGCTTCTACTGGATGTAGTTTTCAAACTGATCTTGAAAATTCAAACCTTGTACATAGAGTTTGTAAGCCTGTATTTATTTAAGTCCAACTTTATCGGCATTATTTCCTCTGTGAGAATGTTTATCAAGCAAGATATCTATGGAATTGAATTCTTTTTAAGCAAATACTTGAGAAGCATTCATAGAATGGGAACAACACTGAATTAGCCTTCTTGGATCTTGTCCATATCACTAAGATTCAATTTAACAGATTTATCAAATATTCTTATATCTGCTATTGCATATATTTGTGTTTTGTGCACTTGTACATACATATGTGAAGGGAGTGAAAGGGGAATGATTGGAGGAAAGTATGATAGGAATAGTATAAAATAAAGGCAGTGTGTAGAAGAGGTGCAGTAGATAAATTTGGAACCAGAAGACCAACTATGGGAAAACCTTTGTACATTCGTGCTGACTTCTCCTGCCCCCTGCCCCTTCCATCTAAGTGTTCATTCCCTCTTTCTCACCATCAGGCTGTTACCACTCTGTCATTGTCTTTTCTCTTTTTTGTTTCCTCCTCTCTTCCTCTGATTTTTACACACATATAAGTACTAAACCACTTTTTGAAAGGGAGGTATATAATAGGAACTAGCAATGAATTTTATACAATCATCTTGGAAACATTTTAAATACACAAATTCCTGAAGAACCCCACTCCCTATACTGAATTTGTCAGTCTATGTTATATTTACCTGTAAACAAATTAGTCAAACTTCTTTGAAATTTATTTGATCATTATAATAAACATTTATGTTTGGAGATAATAAGATAATGAGTGTAAGAAAGGCACAAGATCTGATTTCAATGTTTAACTTAATTGCTTAACTAACTGTACAACTTTTCACAAAGAACTTGAACTTCTAGACATTTATGAATTCCCCTATTTGTAAAAGGAGGGAATCATCTCCAGGGTATCCCCAAATTCTGAGATTCTGATGTGTTCCTCTGATCCAAGTCTCAAATTTTTTGAGGACTGCTCAGATTCAACTCCCAACAGACAGGAAACAAAGGTTTAAAGCAACTGTTGGCTTCAGCGTCAAATGGTTCTCGATAATCATTGTTTTGCTCTGTGAATTATTTGAGAAGTTATGAAGGATGATCATTTTGTTCTCTCATGCACTGTTGGAAAAT